CTAGTGTTTTATTTGCTAATAAATTTTTAGAAAAAGAGATATTTTGCCACTTTTACTGAGTTTGTTTTTTAATTTGCTCATTTGTTTAAAGGAAAGAGCAGCTTCTATGCAGCTTTTAGAATTTCAGAGCGCTAGATAGAGGAAAAAGTGTTAATGACAATTACATATCTGTTTTACTTTTGTTTTTAATTTATTTAGCTGTTTACAAAATGTATAAAAATTAACCAAAATTAAACTTTAATGCAAAAAAAATTAGTCGTATATCAATTTTCTCTTTAAAAGTTTATCAAACTTGGCATAATTAATTTGTTGATAAAGTTTAATGCTATTTATTTATATTTTGGGAGTATTTGTTTTAACTATGTATTGGAAGATTTTTAAAAATACCCTATTGTCAAATGATAGAAAGTGATTGATGTAATTACTTTTCAGTCATGTTATTTATTTTGCAATAATGTGATATTGCTTAGGTTTATGAAATGTTGTACAATTATTGCATTTACTAACCAATTGAATCAGTAAAAGTTACAAGTTAATTGCTATATTTTCTGATCTAGAGTGTTCAAAAGCACTTTTTTCATTTGTAACTAATTGCTAGTCTTCAAACCTTTGAAAGCTTTAAAATTTATTGATTAATGTGGAAAATTGTATGATGTAAATGCCACTAAAGTTATGAAATAATCCTCTAACTATTTCTTGAGAAATTTAAAAAAAATTTGCCTGAAACCAAAAGTATTTCTTCTATTAATGCAGGGTAATTTGATTTACTACGAAATATCGAGTTACTTTATCGAGTAACTACAAAATAGTCGGATTTTGTAGTTACTCGATAATTTTAAAGTCTATGGATCTTAGGATATATTGTTGTGGTATATTGTTTCCATATTATTCAATAGGTATCACAAATGAATCAGGCTCAACATTTGCTGTTTATGCTATAGCAGTGTGTCGTAAGGATCCATCAGGTTCTGAAGATAAATGGAATGTTATCAGAAGATATAGTGATTTTCGGGATTTTCATTTTGCAATTATTCAGAAAGTAAGATGAATAATTTTATTTTATTTTGTATTGTTTTGATGTAGAATTCTTTTAAATTTGTTTACCTTTTTAGAAACTATAGTAATTTAATGTTCTGTTACGATAAGTTTATATTTAATTAAAGCTTATCAAGGTCAAGTTTTTAATAACTAACTTTTATTTTGCTCAGTTGGCTGTTATAGTTTGAAAATATTTTGATATTTGTTTTAATTAATACTATTATAACTTTGAAACGATTTTTTTTATTTAAACATGAAGTTTGTAAACATGAATTGCCTAGTGTTAAAAGTTTGAAATTGAATTGAGAAAAGCATTCAAAATAATCATACTTCTTTAAAAGTGAATTGCTCCTCATAGTGGCTATTTTTGTCTGTAGTTGTTAAAAACTGCGTCTCATGATAAACAGTTTTTTTTTTCCTTTTTTTTTTGTAATTATCTCTAAATCTTTATTTACTTTATTGTTTGTAATTTTGATTTAAAACATGCACAGTCTTGATACTAATAAAAAAAAGGTGCCATATTTCACATTTTTATGTATTGTTGTGTGAGAAAAACAGATACTACTCAACTACAATCATATTAACAGTTTATTTTATTTAAATTTCATATCATTAAGGCATGAAAATTTTTCCTTATAAAAAATGGAGAAAAATTCTCTCAATATGCTGCTGGTTTGTTAGCAAAATTATGAAACTGTATGCATTTAAAACAATGAGGAAAATTTGTTTAGTGCGGGTTATGTATAGTAAAATTAGGAAAGAACTTTTGTGTGCATGAAAATATTTTTACAATCAACATATTTTCTTTTTTTTTTTACAAAATTAGAGAAAAACATTATCTGAGAAATTCCCTTATTTGTGATTTTTATGATATTGAAATAAGCATTATTTGCTGCAGAGTTTGCTTAATTGATTAAAGAATTTTACTGGTTGAGAGTCTGCAATAACAAGTCATTTACAGTCCCTACTAACATTATTTATCATTATTCAATACTGTTTAGGAATTTTTTGCAGCTTTTTTTCCGAATAGTATTTGATAAATTCTGTAGACAAATGGTAATAAATGCGGTAGAGATTTTTTTAGAGGTAAGACTTTTATTGCAACTGTAAAATATTTTATTCCCCATCGTCTGTTATATACGAGGCCTGTCTAAAAAGTATCCGACCATTGACCATAAAAAATATTTCGGATGTCAGATGGAGTTGGGACCCTAATCCCCTTCAAAGTAGGCCCCTTGGGCTTGCACACACTTAGCCCACCGATTCTTCCACTGCTGGAAACACCTCTGAAAGTCTTCTTTCGGAATGGAGTTGAGCTCCGTCGTCGCGTTCCGCATTATCTCTTCTTTACTCTCAAAACGGGATCCTTTCAGTGGCGTCTTCAATTTTGGAAACAACCAGAAGTCGCAAGGAGCCAGGTCANTAGACAGGCCTCGTATGGAGCAATTTTAAGTTTGTTGCTAGCCATTAACTAAATTTTTCATTATTTTCGAATCACTTTGTAAGTTATTACAGATTTTCCCTCATTGTGATTGTTATGTATGCTTTAAAGTTTTTTTTTCGTTTATTGTTATAATTGCTCTTTTTTATTTTCAGTTTCCTCACCTTAGTCAGTTACAGTTCCCTGGTAAGAAGACTTTTAATAATTTGAGCCCCCAATTTTTAGAAAAGCGCACAGGTCAGTTGTGTAATTATCTGCAGATTTTAACTAATCCTGACACTTTAGTAAACAGTCCCGGGTTGAAAACTGCATTATTGCAATTCCTGGAGCCTAAAGTGTATGAAAAAGGCAGAAAACCTTTAGCTAAAAAGGTGAGTTCTGTGTTATTTTGCATTTGTTTTCATTTTAATTCTTATTCTCTATGCTAAGTGTGAAATTAAAGTTTAGGCATTTTTCATAAAAATTGGTTAACCCTTTGAAGCAGAATTTATATGAAACATGTTTCTCTACTTTTTTTCATTATTTTGTATTAATTCAGGCCAAAATATTATATATAGCATTTTAATAATTAATGGCTTTAAAATACAGTTCACTTTCAAACAATAATTTTTCAAATTTATGCTTATTTAATGCTCTTGAGATCTATGAGAAACAGTTATTCATCATTGAAAGTTGTTTTGTTTACAAAAAAATAAATTTTTGAATATGAATTTTAAAAAAAATTGATTAGTTTTTTTAAAATTTTATTTTATATTTTACAAATATAATTCCAATAATCTAACATACTTTTTTTGGTAACTATTTGACTATTTCTTATAATTAAATAAAAAATACCAAGAAATACTTTTACTTTTAATCAGAGCATCGGTGGAATAATAGAGGAACTCAGTGTCCCATCTGCATCAGAAGGTTAATGTACTAGTATTACATCTTTTGGATATTATTTTCAATGTATTAAGTTAACTTTATTTATTTATTGTAAAATGCAATACATCAAATTAGATATTTGGTCAACATTTCTATTGATAGTGTTATTATTTTAAAATTTTGATTTTTCTTTATTCATTGATATTTAAGTGTTTTGAACAATTAATTTTTTTACCTAATTAAATTTATCACAAATTGTTTTTTCAAAATAACGTTATTATTATATTTTTAAATAGTTTATGCACTGTGAAATATTATAACTGAAAAATTCTTAAATAATTAATTTACTCAAATAATTCTCAATATTTCAAAATTAAACTTCTACAATGGACGTAATATTTAAAATTTAAATGGCTGCTTAGTATTTTAAAATATGTCTGAAATTATTTTTAACAAATTGGATGTAGTAAAACTAACATTAAATGAGAATTTATTATAATGATCAGTACTTAAGATTCTGTCATAATTGCTTAATTAAAATCTAATTACATTTAACTATTTTAGTTTTTATTATTTACATTAAAGGTAATAATTAAAAATTCATGTGCT